ACTAACAGTAGGTTAAGGAGGTTAGCTGTCATCCCTTCACTGCAATTGTGTGCCCTGCTAGGTAGAGGCATTGCACTTCTACTGCCTCTCTCCTTTCTTGAAGGAAAATCCTTCCTATAAAGACGATAAGATTCAAATTCATTCACGTGCAATACTTCTTCTTCTCTTTCTTCATCCATGATCTACCTCTTAGTTGCCAACATAAATAATACTTCGGTTAAAGTAATGTCCTGTGGCTCCAGACTGGGGGAGCTTCAATGCATAGGGTGCTGAGCAAACATGTATAGAGGCATAATCCTGTCAAATGTTATCCAGTCATATAATCTGTGCTATATTACTCCCTCTAGAGAACACACTCAGATCAGCAAATGCTTGGCCTCCTTCTGTATGTGACACTCAGTGTCAGTGAGTGACGTCTCGCAGATGACACTTTATTGGTAGAGTAGGTGCTGGTGGCAAGGACTATATTTATAAAGCAGAGGTCCAAAAATGGCTTTGCAATGCTCTGCGGTTAAAAGGTCTCAGTCATTTCCAGATCAGATTTGATCCTTTCACAAGACCTTTCTTCCTTTCCTCCATTGCTCACGAACTCTTACCAGAATGAGGAAGCCTTAGGGTGCTTCCCCAGATCACCAGCAGAAAAAGCCACAAAACAGGGGACACGAAATCTGTATCATTCATATGAAAGAAGATGTGCATGTGAGAGGAGTTGCCAGAGCCATACATTACAGTGCATATTTTCTTTCCAGAAAAGAAATCAAATACCTTTTCAGGTTAGCACTACAGTAGCTTCTACCTGTCATAGCCCCAAAGTTACGGTAGACAGGGGCAGATGAACACATCACCATGAACTAAGCAACAGTGTGCATTTTTAGCATGTCACCTACTCTGTGGTAACTCTGCCTTTATGTACCCAGTCCTGAGGAAAGCATGAGATGCTCTGCTACTGCACTGGCATGACTAAGAGCATGTGTATGGTGCTCACTGGATGATAACTGGACTATCCTGGGGTCACTTGTCTGTCTGCCCTTGTCCTGTCACACTTTTACTCATAAGACTCCTGAGCCGTTGAAGCAGTTTGCCACTCTGGGGAACAGGATGTTTCTGAGAGCCAGAGGGTAACTTATGATTGTACAGATGATATCCAACTACTGATGCACCATCTGCAATGTTTGGAAACTGACAGCTGACCTTAAAACTGCATGTCTGTCTGAAGGTCTTTCCAACTACTAAGATCCAGCACCATGTTCAGAGGCTAAGTGTGGGTTTAGAGAGAGAAGGCAGGAAAGCAGTTTAGGCATTTTATTTTGTGCCCAGGATGTAAGTTTGAATGTTTTCTGGAGGTAGCCTCCATTGACCCACCTGTGGATATGTGCCGGGTGCAAGAAAAGGTGATGAGATGCTGTTCTGCTGGCCACAAAAACTGGTGGTCTTTGCTCAAACTAACTTGAAAACCATTGCCAGACCTCAGCTTGTAATGTACTATTCAATTACACTTCCCACACGCTGCTTAGAGTAATCCAAGTCTGAGTCTGGTCCATAGTAAATATGAGAGAACAAGCCTTAAACTTAAGGCATCTGGAAACCAATTTGTTTACTCCTTGGAAATTAAACAAGTGGTTTTTTTTTTTAATAAATGTATGTTAAGGAATTATATATCGTGACTGGAGGATAAGTCAGCATCAACAAAGTCATTTACTCCTCTGGGTGACAAGCAAAAAGGAAAACACCCCTATGTTTCATTTTGTTTCTATTTTTCACCTCCATTTACATCTGTAGGCATGTAAATTATTTGAATAATCTCACTGAAATCAGGAGGACAACATGAGCTTGCAGGGAGGTATGTGATGGTGGGCTATACCAAATCAGCTTTCAACACCAGATGCTGGAAGACAGTGTTGGTAGTTGTGGGCAGCTGACCTGAAGAAGTTGAGTTTAGCAGTGAATGGAGTTCCCAGGCTTTGCAGGTCAGGTTCATTTCCTCTCCAAAGCACAAACTGTTTTAAAAGAAACTGAGACCAACAGCTTTCCCCAAGTCTCAAAAACAGAGACAGGTGCAGCATGTATCCCTTATTCCAGGCTGCTCTTCCAGGGAATCAGGGGGACGGATGGGGATGGATGGTGGATCAACAGCAATTAAAAGGTGGGCACAGAGGCAATAGCACCATGGCTGAGGTTTAAATTCAAAGCAACAAGGCATCCATCAGAACAATTGCAATTGTCAACGGAGGTGAAATGTAACCAGTGGTTTGCAAATGCAGTCTAGATCCTTAAAACAGAATCAAAAAATGCCACACACAAGCAAATGACTCAGCTTTGTTTGCTGCCTGGCCTATGAGCCAGCTCTATAATGTTGATATAAGCCACACGGCTCAGGCAAGATCCCCTGGATGGGTTTGATCAAGCACCCATGCATCTTTATGAAAGTGAGTCAACTGGACACAGATGTTTTCATTGTTTGGTGCTGCAGAAGCCTCTACCCTCCCTCCTCTTTCTGCTTCCTGCAATCTTCAGTTACATTTTAATACCTTTTTTCATCTAATTTTATTTGTGTGTATTAAAGGAAGCCTGCTGTAGGCTCTGGGGGAAGAAGAAAGAGAGGAAATGCCACCACATCAGTCCACAAATAGCCAAGCCGCTTACAAACTTGCCTGTAAAAATACCCCTCCCACAAAACTTTCCTCCTCAGTGGAAATCCCAGGCTCAGCCACTTAAGTCCTTCCCAAAAGCCATGCATTTTGCACTGCATTCTGCTTGTGTTAACAAATTCAAGTTGCTTCAGGCCAAGAAATTGCAGAAAGAAAACTTTAAAGCCCTTTGGAGAAATTGCCCTTCTTGGAGAGCTCTTACTGTTAAGGAAGGGGAACTCACTTTAGAGGTACTTGAGTTATACTCTGTTGCAGCAGGCAAACCTGGCATAGAGTCCAGTGAAAACAGCCCCAGTGGGACAATTTTTTTTTCTAATTATTTAAGAGAAAAAGTGCCCCCCTTCCCTTGCAATTCTTCTTCAGGTTCCTCTACAGGACTATCCAGGCAAGCACCACCAACCTACCTGCAGTCTTCTTCCTGGGTTAGAGGTCAAGTACGTTTGCCCAAGCTGGTTGCTGCTGATACACCCAATATACTTGAGATACTGAATCACCCCTAAAGATTCTGCTTTAGTGCTCTTTTGGCAGCTAATCCCCCATAGTAATTTGTGCAGATCCACCAGTGCTATCTCCTCTCACATAATATAGCATTAAGGATAGCAAGTCACTCACTTTTTTTCATCCAAATGCCTCCTTACTCCTCACTCTGCCATTATTTGTATCACCAAAAGAAGGAAATGAAGGATCACCCTATTGTTTCACTGTCCTACATCATGATTCCACCTCTGCCTTTTCTTAACATGTCTTCTCAAGTCTAAAGTGAGAAAGCTTTGAATTTCTCAGAGAGTAAAAGACATTCCCAAAACCAACACTGCAGTACCTTTGGACGACCCAACTACTCAAAACAGTGAATACCCTGAACACTGAGTGCTTTGCAGACCTGGCATGTTTGTAGTCCCAGAGCTGTGGCACCCAGCATCACTAGTCACTTTGCAAGAGATACATCACTAGGAGTGATACCTGTGTATCTTCCCTTTCCAGTATACAAGCTCCCTCCTTGTGCAAATCGTTGTTACAGTAGCTGCTGATCTGTATGTGTGAACAAAGCATAATTTATTAATTTGGATTCTGCATGTTTTAAGGCAGATCTGCATGGATGTCCAGGAATACAGGGTGCTATGATGGGTTATGTCTGGTGTATTTTCTTACTGTAAGTTATGAACATACAAGAGCTGCTCCTGGACAGCAAAAATACAAAGACTGCTTATTCACATTTTTTTCGCAGTTGCTGAAAAAGAGAAATCTGGGAGGTAGAAGAAGCTGTGTTCTCTAAGTTGCTCAGACAATGCTCATCTGTAAGATCTAAAGTGCAGCAGAGATGTGGAAAACCCAGCAAGACGGAGGTCTCTAGAGAAAGACAGGCCTAGGCAGAACATCAGGCTTCAGATGTGAAGAACAGAATCATAAAATCACAGAATTATAGAATGGTTAGGGCTGGAAAGGACCTTAAGATCATCTTGTTCCAGCCCCCTGCCATGGGCAGGGACACCTCACCCTAGACCATGTCACCCAAGGCTCTGTCCAACCTGGCCTTGAACTCAGCCAGAGATGGAAAAGATTTGTCCCAGGGTCTGGCAGGAATGATGCGGTTTATCACCACTCAGTAGGCAACTAACACTGGATGGATTAAGAAAACACCCATGTGTGACAATTAGTTAAAGAGCACTTTTGTTAAGAAATAAAATTACAATGAAGAGTCATGTGTGACCTATTCCCACAGCTAGCTCTAACCTGCTCCACATGCCACCCCTCATGTCTGATACTGGGGTCAAAATACTGTCACAGCCCTGTACACAGGAAAGTTACACATAGCTCTGACTCAAGCTGTTACCTCGCTGGAAACTGGTGAGAAGAGACCCCTGAGTGCTCAGGGAGCTTTTTCTGAGTCTACATTAAGCTTCAAGGTTACAAGTGAACCAGAAATCATGCAAGCCATTTTTTATTTTGCAGCATCAGTGTCACACATGAAATATCCTATTCTCTCTTCTGTTTTGGGGTCCCTTTTTATTTACTCTTTTAAATACAACAAATAAAATTATCATTTTATTCCTTCTTCTCAAAGGAACTTGGTTGATAGAGAAATTAAATAATTTACAAAATTGTGTTTTTTTTCTTATTCATCCTGGTTTAGGTGTAAAGATCATGCCGCCTTCTTCTCAGGTACCTCCTTTTGCATGCAATAAATGAACAAACAGAAAACCTGCCTGTTACCTCTCTCCCCTTTGAATTTCTCTGTAATTTAGAAATGACAAATAATGACCTACTGCAAAAGCAGAAAGTAAAGTAAAAGTGGCAAAAGCAAAATATTTCTCCTCTAAACATGTTGGTTTTTTATTATATGTGTCTTGGCAGCCTAACCCTCTGAAAACACCCGCCTGAATTCTCTGCATTCAACAAAGCAGCCCAAGGATAAACCCTCCAGTAAAGCCTATGTGACTGAAGATATAGGAGTCTGCTGTGAGTAAAAACATTTTAAATATGATTGCTATACCTGTTAGTAACCAAAGAGCCCTTTTGGAGCAAATAATTTCCTTGGAAACATCTGAATCCAATCATCTAAGCCTGGGAGCCCACATCTATGTAATACCACTGCTCTTGTCTCCACATTGTCTGTCCCCTGCCTCAAAAGAAAGAGTTTACCCTGTCCATCTATCATTTAAATGGTAATGAGCTAAATGAATTCCACCTCACTTCTGAGCTTCAGAGTGAGCCCGGGTTTATTTATTCATTTAAAGCCACTAGAACAATTCTGACGTTGTTGAGCATGTCCCAGATTTATAGAAAATAAAACTGTACTAATATAGTGCATTTGTTAGCTTTTCTGTCAGATGCCTCCATGAGTATCCAGAGGTGTGAGTTTGCCTTGCAGTTCTGTTCTGACTGGAACGGCATCTCCTGAAATGTAAATGTTATCTTAAGGTCATATGCTGATGAAAACCAATTGCCAAACTCTCATTTCTTGGTCATTTGACAAAGCAGCTGCTGTGCAGTTATGTGGCACAAAGAAAGCTATTAAAGATGGATGAGTTACATGTTTGATTTGGCATATATTATACTTCTTCTAAAGAGAAAAATTAAGGTAGACAATTATTTTTCTTGATTTAACTGAATAAATGAGACTTCTCACAAACTTTTATATACAGGAATGATATTTCTAAATGAAATTGTTCGTCTACACCTTATGTAGTCCTCCAAGTGCTTTTCTGAATGCATTTTAAAGGGACAAAACAAATATCCTAGTGTCTGATATAATTAATTTGTGGCATCATAGGTTGGTATTGAGAAAAATTCCTGATTAGGAGGAGAATACAGAGATTAGACAATTGTACATGTCATGACATTAAGTTCTACAGTTGATGTACGTTAATGAAAAAAAGGTTACAAGGTTTAGGTCATCAGCAGCTGTCGTCAGCTGGTATGGTACCACATCAGTGCCTCCAAGGTCTATGAAGATTATTTTTTACTATTTGTAGGATATCTAGAATTGGCCAACGCCAGAAATACAATGCTGGAGGCTTCTGCTGTTGCTTTGGCAAACCAACACAAATGCTCACTTACACAAGTGGAAAACACGCAGTGCATAGTCAAGACAGACAGTAATACAACAAGTTTTAGGAGCTGGTGCTGTCATAGCTAGTCATTCAAGGCTTTTTTAGGTGTGAGGAAGTGCTGTCAGGGAAACCATGCTGCAGGGATGTTAGTTTGGGGTTAACACGAAGCTCTGTGTCCAGGAAGAGATGGAATGTTGGAGTTGTAGCAGGACTTGGTCTCCACATTTGAGCTGTGAGAAGTCAGTCCCTGGGAGCAAGATGCCTGGTGATGGGTGGAGAAGGAAGCGTTTCGTGTTTCCCTGCATTTTGTTTGACCTTCATCTTGCAAGAAGAAAGGTCGAATTATTTTTTAAGAAAAGTATCAGTAGTGTTTCCTCTCACTAAAAATTGCTCTAGCTCGTGAATACTTTTGGAACTTTGCAACACAGGATTAAAAAAAAAAAAACAAAACACCTAGTTTGAGATTTCTGGGGCCTTTTCTGTTTTTTCCCCTCCTTTGGAGTTACAGAGAGGTTGCAAGTGAGGAAGATAATGCAGCATTTAAGGATAAGACTTTACTTATGCAGTACATCCAGCAGTCATTTACGCATTAACCCTTGCACAGCCAGAGAGGTAGAAAGTTGCACCAGCGAGAAACAATCATGAGTAATAACAAAGCACTCACTTGCAAATAAGAAATCTAATTCAGAAAGAACAGGATTCATCAATGTTCAAGCAGTGAAAGATATGTCTCTCTAAAACTTTATCTTGTAGGCTGGCAAAGGATCTCCCTCTCCTGCTTACTGACAACTTTGACAGAACACAGCTCAAAATTTAGTTTCTAGATCAAGATCTGGGATCCAAAAATCCTTCTATATATATTTTAGAGGGGGGAAATTTGAGCATGAAACATCTTACGTTTAGTGATTGCACCACACATTTCAGGGGTGTCTGGTCCAGGCAGTCAGATGTGGATAGGAGGGATTTCCCTACTTTGGTAAACAAGACACTTTTTCTGCTAGGGATTGTGTAGGACCTCATTATATTTCAAGGAAATCTGCCCTGTTTTACTGCAACTGCCATTAGTTTACTATGATACCTCAGGAAAAGCAACACACCTTTCTGAATGCCTTAGTTCGTTAACACAGGAGAGCTCACCTTCCTTGTAAATCGTTTATTGGTTATTTATTAATAACTTGCATCTGCTGCTGTCAGCCTAGACAGATGACCTGCTGCAGTCTTCATGGGATGGGAACAGTCTTACTCAGAATTGCCTGTGTGCACTGCATGGTGCTCTTTATCTCAGTAGACACCTCTACCACAATGAGAACACACTGCACTTTGTGTGTCTTACAAAATTCAATTCACATACTGAGGCTTCCTGCTCTTGCAATTTACTTCTTTGAACTAAGACACCTCCCCATGACACATAATTCTTGTGAAACTTATTAGCTCCCCTTAATATAAGTAAATAAATAAATAAGCAGGCTGGAATTCATTCATTACTGAAATCGAGTAATGGCCCAACAGAAATTTCAACAATAAAACATCCATGTCTTGAAACATCAATACTTGCAATAAACCATGGGATGAGAGAAGGCATGGTGAAATAGCTTCTTCCACTCATGAAATACCATATCCTCATGACAAAAACACAGAAAGACACAAACTGAGCTAAAAGGGAATTACCAGTGCTGCAAGTTTCCTGCACAATACCTTGTCTTGCTTAATGTCATTCCTCTTTGGCCAAAGCACATTCATTCCCCAGAGCTCTAAGGATGGAAATAGCAGGTCATAAGAGGAGCCCAGTAATGCAGGACAGCTTGTGCGCTGTGTACAAAGGCTTTATGCCACCCTCATGGTTTCAAAAGATCTATTTTACATCCACCAGACATGTAGGTGTAAAAAAAGAATTAACATGGCACTCCTTGTCCTAGCTGCTTGGACTTAATTGTTCTGTCCCTCCAGCATTCACTCTCTGGTTTTATTTCCATTGCTATGTAGGGCTTTGCTCTCAGCATCACAAAGATGAAGGGATTTTAAAGCCGAAGGATCATCTTGCTTACATCCCTTATGTCACAGGTTATGAAGTTTTGCCTCACTGCCCCCAAGACTGATCCAAGGAATGGACGTTCACTGAAAACTCTTTTCCAGAAAGACACCCAGTCTTGATTTTCAGGAAGGACAAAATAGAGAACCCACCACTTTCTTTAGCTTGTAATCCTCCTCAGCAAAAGCTTAAACTCACTCTAAATTACACTGGCTCCTCTCATGCCTTCTTCTGTCTGATTAAAGAGCCTTTTTCCAGATGGTTCATCTCTCCACAGAAGTTTTCTCCACTAGTTAAATTACCACCACATCCTCTCACTGCCCAAGTAAGCAGGATGAGTTTGAAAAGTCTCTCTTTCTCAAGAATTTTCTCCTGCCTTTGTCTGGCTCTTTTCTGAGATTTCTCCTTTTGTTTTCTTTTTATATTATTCAAAGAAAGCAAACTGGGATGCATGCAGCATTACCATTTCACTCACCCTGATTTTGTATGCAGGTGCAGGGCTGCAATCAGATTCTATTGAAGTGGGAATATGCATATAAGAAAGAACCCTGACTTTTAACATTAAAGGCCCTGGAGTTACAGTATATGGAGTGTTTATACAGTACATATAGCATATATGATACAGATAGATACATGTAGGTTTAGATGTATCTGTCTCTGGAGCCATGCAAGTAGTTATTCTGTAGGTTCAGCTGCCTAATGAAAAAAGGAAAAGCGGAAAGAAGTCAGAAGAGGCAGTGAAACATTCTCAGAAACGAGAAATTAATCAGGGTCTTGCATAAGCAGGGACAGTGCAGTAAGCATAGCCACTAATAATAGGTTTGATAGATTTGCTTGCCTTATCTAGATCTAATTTAACATTCAGAGCTTAGTGGAGACCTCCTGCCCTGAACTGAGGGTCACACAGAGATTCTTGTCTGCTTCAAGGTCTTCACTGAATATTTGGTTTCTGGATCACAGGTATTTAGGTAAAATTCATTTCCAAGCAGGCTAGGCTCCTTAGCATTACTTACAGAATGGACTTTTATTCTTTGTAAATTGTCACATCTGTAAATTGTGATACTCCTAAGCAGTATTACTCATACTCATTTAGGAATTCATCATGTCATACTTATAGTACACTCCTTGTCCACGGGCTATATCATTTAGCTAAGATTTTCATTAAAATACTTCCAAATGTATTGCTATGAAGGCATATCCTCTTTGGTTTGAGCTCCTCGGTTGTCATTTCCCAGGTCTTATCCAGAGAACAACAAGCTTTACATGACACCCCCCAGATGCTGGGGGTCTGAAAGCTACCCCTGGGACCAAGGTCACCTCCCTCCTGCCATTCACAGCAGTCATTTCTCTCAATTCAGGGATCTCTACATGTCCTGGGACAACCAGGAATGCTGAATGCCTCAACGTGGCATGGAGTTCAGGTTGTGTTACTCACCCATTGTGACCTCTCCCATATAAACATTCCTCATATTCCTTGCCTGTAGGAAGGTTGACCCTTTTCTACATAGGAAATTTCATAACTATGTGATAGAAACATAGTATGTATTCTGTGTCCCTGCACAGGCTGCATTGCATTTGGCTGGTTTAAAACATGTTTTGCCTGAATAAACCAAGCTTCACCAGTGATCTAACTTGCGGTGTCCCTGCAGTTATTTATGCTTCTACCAATCTTCATCAGCTGCAAATTCTATCTGCAGTGACTTTATATCTAATTCTGGATTACTGATGAAAACATTCAGCAGCCCCAAGCATAGGCCTGATTTTGTGGAGGCACTGCTTAGAATGCCCATTGTTGATCATGATTTATCTGAATTGTTGGATCTGTCATTTATCCTTTTGTCAGCTGATATCATCCTGTGTGGCTTCTTTTTTATTTT